TCAGTTTATGTAAGATATCAGCCGCATCTACTCAATTATTTACGACAGCAATTTACTGGTTAAATGATCTTAACTCAGCATTCTGTTTAAGAATTTGAACTTACAAAAGATTGATTTCCCTGACTTGCAACCTGTGTTTTCTTAGTTTTTCATCCCCAGGACGCGGTACACAAGATAGTGTGCCTTTGATTTAAATTAAAAAATAAAGTGAGAGCCCAAGGGCCAAGATACTGGTAAATATTCTTTCGAAGTGCAGGCCAGATATGAAACTGACGATCCAGATCACTAACCGGTACTCATGATTATCGTTAGTTATTTTCGTATAAAATAGCAATTTATCAATGATTTCATGGTGGGCGCCCTGTTAAGAATAGCCGTTATGTCCACGTGCTCAAAATATTCGGGGTCTTCAAGATATGCATAAATATCTTTGAATTCAGGGTCCGTCTTCAGTTCTGAAATTATTGTTTCACGGGACTCAATTATTCTCGCAGTCAGTATCGTACATCTGACTGTATTTCCCTCTTCGTCAGTCTTAATTCTTGGCAGGGCATCCGCGACAACGTTTTCCTTCTCCAGCGTGTGTTTTATAATTAAGTTAAATTCCTGTAGCTTTAACGTCCCACGTATAAGTCGAGGTGAAATATTTTTCCCCGAACACAAGCGACCAACTGTCGCATGGTCTGAGTAGACTGTTACCGGGGCTTTTCCAAAGTAAACTCGGAATTTCTGGACTGATAGTAAGACAGCGAGAGTTTCTCTTTCCGTCGCGGTGTAATTCTGTTGAGTTTGTGTGCGAGATTAAGGCAAAGCTTCGAGGGATATCTGCCTAAGGGGAGGTATGCCTTCGTGGAGGACTTTCTAAAGGAAACTGGCTCGTATATACGCTACACATGGGTAAAACCACGAAAACGCCCATGCAGCCAGCCCGTTCGCGGGATTCGAAACTCGGACCGAACTACCAGTGTACCGCTCGGCCGCCGGTGGGCCCCTACGTTGAGTTTGATTCAACGTTTTACTGAAAAAGGCAATTGGCTGCCCATTTTGGGAGAGGACAGCGCCAAATGGGCAGCCAATTGCCTTTTTTAGTTTTGAGGCGGCTGCTGCAAGTTCTAAATTCTGGTCCTCTTCCGAGAACTTGAGAACTGGGGCGTTAATTAACGCGTGCTTTAATTCTTCGAACGCAATGTTCGCCTCTGCGGTCTCACGCGAATCTAGTTTTTTGCGTTTGAGAACCAACAAGGGTTCAACTATCTTCGCAAAGGCTTCGATAAATACTCTATAATACGAGCATATGCCCAAAAAGGTTGATATTTTTTGGCGGTATTAGGAGATGGATAACTCTTGATTGCTAAGATTTTAAAATTATCGTTCTCGATTCCTTTTTTCGAGATAGGTAAGTGTGATGACTTCATGGTTTAATAAGGCACCATTTAGCAAGACGAAACAAACATTTATTAAATATATAATTCAAATAATAATATAATAGTTACTCAGAGCAGTACGTCGCTCCTACCGCATAGTACAATCTACGAGTACGTACTACCTTCCTCTTCCGAGGCTAACATGCAACTCTTAATAAATACATTAACCCTTTTCGGAGAAGGGCTACAGGGTTTTCAGTGCCCAGGGACAACTGAAGATTTCGCGCCCTCTACTGCTTGCCAAGGATGGAAAACATTTAATTTTAAAATGTCGTAACATCAGTTTGGCGCACCTTGGATTCTGCACGCGGGGACAGATGCCCCCCTCTAGCTACGCCCCTGGTTTCGCTCGTCACAATTATATCATCTAAAGAGATGACCGTACTTTTGCCTAAGACAGATCTGAATATGATATCCATGACTTTCAGGAATGCAGACTGAGCTCCGATTAAGCCAAACAGCATTTTCAAAAAGGCATACATGACTGACTTCCTCGGGTTTTACTGCAATTTGAAAATAGCCTGACGTCAGATCTACCATAGTCATATATTTAGTAAATCAGATTTTCCTTATTATTTCATCAATTATTGGGACGGGATACGTGAGATATTTAGTTATACTATTCAGTTTACGGTAATCCATGGCGAACCTCCATAAATTCGGATCTGACGGGAGAAGGCCGTTTGTCTTTCTACATAAAACTACTGGGCTTGCGTGGAGGCTGCTACTCGGAACAATTACTTTATTTGCCAGTATTGTCTTAGTATACTGTTCTAATATGTCTTACTTCCCTTGTTAATACAGATACGGCTTAGACCGGACTGGGGAGGGCATTTAAAACATTAATCTCGCGCCATACCACTTGACACAAGCCAGGTTTCTCATCGAATAAATCAGAAAATTGTCTTACACATTTTTCCATTTTCTTGTGTTCCTGGAGATGGTTGAGATCCGCGTCTGGCATGGCCCCCTCTTCTTCTTCAAAAGTATCCATCTGGGCCCGTAAAGTAGAGTTCTTAAAAGTTTGCGCTTGCTGCGCGTTAAAAGTCAACCCCCTTAATAATCGAAGTTAGTAGATCTTTAACTGCAAAAAAAAAAAAAAAAAAATTCACATTTTGTGTCTCATTTCTGATTTGCACGTGCAGCCCTACTTTCCCCATGTACACACACTGTTTTCCTTGGGCGAAATCACCCTCTGTCCCGTAGTTTCAAACAATCTGTAACGGCGAAAATTCTTAAAATCTTGTGCCAAAAAGCTGCATTGCGCTCCAGTATCCAGTGAAGCGGTAGTAGGGACATTATTCAATAAAATATGAATTTCTGGCAAGGCCAAATTTTGTATAACTAACGTATTTTTTTAATTTCCGAGGAACTTTTCGGTACTTACGTATTATCGCAACCAGGTTGGCGCGATTTGTAAGTTTGAGTAAAAAAGTATGAATAGAAAGAAAATGTACATTTATCAATTACAGATAATTTTTAATACAGTTTTTTATATTATTTTGTTTTAAAATATAAAATAGCAATTAAACCCTTCCGGTTTCTAATTTGAATAAGTTGCAGAATTATTTTTTCGGCGGAAATCTTTTGGCTATTGCTTTTAGCACTGATTGATAACCGTCTTCGCCATTAACAGCTTGAGCTTGGCGCCATATAAATTCAATAAGGTATGAGTCAAGATGATGACGGGCTGTTCCTCTCTGTTTTTTGTTGCGCCATTTGGCTGAGCCCCACATGCGCTCTACATGTTGTGTGTGAACGCCCGTGTTGGGATCCACAAAGTTATATTTGTGATTAACAGTTCCATGCTGAAATCCAGCATTTTCGAACTCACTTGTATTGTATCCTTTCAAGCAATCCGAATAAATGATGCTTCCTTCCTTCATACTTTGGCAAATTTTTTCCACGAGGGTAAAGGCGCTTCTGTTAGGTACAGTAACCAAAAAAGTAATTAAAGTATTTCAGGGCATTCAATCTAACCAGGAAGAAAAATAATTTCTTTACGAAAAACTACGTATAACACGTAGGGTTGCCGTAAGTACGGTCGCCAAATTTGGCGATTTATGCGAATTTTGGCCTGGTTGCGTTAATACGTAAGTACCAATTTTTCTTCCCAGGGGGTGACCGGAGCCTTTTTCTCGGCTGCCCTCATTAGTTTAAATCCTTTGGACTGACCCGTCTTCTTGTTACCGCTTTTTCAATCTTCCCCGCTTGCCGATGAGGATACTTCCTAATTTGAGGTTTCTGTTGAGGCGACAACCTCGAATACTGGCGGAAATTTTCTGAAAACGCGTTTTCAGAGGTTTAGCTGCTCTGAAATTTTATGGCCTGGAATACATTTTCCAAGGTTTGAGGATTTCTTACTTCCAGAAAATCTTGAATCGAGGGAAAAAGACGCGGTAAAATAATTTCAATTAATTCGCTATCCAGCCTCTTTCCATACAATAAATTGAATATTTAGATTTTTCTAAGAATCAAATCCGTCAGATCTTCGACATTTGTTTGATATTTAATAAACAGTTCTACTTCTAGCTTCGCTCGGTCTTTGACTATGGGAAACGGCTTCAATACCGAGTTTAAAGCCACTTGTGCTTAAACTCAAAAAGGTGAGAAATAAGAACTTAACTAATGACTAACTAAAGAGATTTACCGAAGCTAACACAATTTCCAACTAGTTGGCCCCTAATATTAAATTAGCTAGTGAAGCTATCAAGGACATGTAATACGGCCAAGCATAGTAACAGCTTAGAAAGACGTATCCAAACGGCAATCGCGCATTCAGAAAATCTAATTCTCTCTAGTGAAGTCAGTGGAAATTCGACTTAAATTCTACTCCTTCTCATTTGCATTTAATATGATTCTAAAAACTCATTTTGGTAAGGAACTGTAAGCTGAAATTAGAAGAGATAGGAAAGTGTAACAAACTTAACATAACTGTGATAAACTTAGGATAAACCTTACCATTCCAACAATTTCAAGAGTGAGAACTACTCAAAACTTTTCTAAAATATTTTATGCAAATATTAATTAATCATCATTTGTTACACTCTTCTAGAAACTGATGTACTACTTAGAAAGATTGTTTGAAGTTTTCAGTATATGTTTGATAGCTTTCTGCATTGGAAATGTTAGTTTTATAAAATTCAAATACTCTTAAAATATTAGTATAATCGATATAAGAAGAAAAATTAAAAACAATTTGGGAGAGGGGACCTTAGCTGCCATTAGCTTTCTTAACATTCACATTAAGAATTAATGCACACCACTTACATCAACCATTTTTACATAATAAAACAGCATAAAGCAATCCAAATGATGACTGCTCAGAGGAAGAACACTTCGAAATTAACAAGTCAATAATAGTTTACTGACAAATAATGTTCTGGTTTAAAAGGGATTCATTATATCATCTATTGCAATAATGAATAAACCTTCCTCCCAAAATAGCAGATAAAGTCTTGTACAAGAATTAGTATAGACAAATATAAATCAAAGGAAAACCACAGCTGATTTGAAAACTTTGCATTCACAAATTAAAAAAAAAAAAAAAAAAAAAAAAAAAGGAAGACTTAAAAGTTCTTTAAGAAGCAATGTGTTTATTCCAGCAACAGAAAAATCTGTATATTTCATAAGAAATTTATATAGTTACTCAACAAAAATTCAATAACTAATAAATAAAACACTTCACTTCAACAAAGTAAAAATGAACATTAAGAAACATAGTTTTCACATAATCATTAAGTAGGATAAATCAGCAGAAGACTGGGGCATAATCACAATTGCAAGATGTCAGTTTTTTATTTTACATACATTTAAGTAAATGAAAAAAAGCATTTTCACTGAATACTGAAACACATCTTGTATTCACATATATTTTTACATAAAATCCATAGCTCTTCAGAATTCTGGAATGCAATTATCACTTTTTACATATTTATGCACAAATAATATATATATACACAGACATTAAACATTAATATTAAAGCTTTCAAATGGCTTTTTATACATTATTTGTAAAACAAATAAATAGGCTGCTAACCAGTGTCTTATATTCAAACAAAATTGTTTAAAGTACACAACATACATACACAAAGTTTTTAATGCACTAACTCCTTACATATGTAAAGAAATGATCAGAAAAGGATAATAAATGGTCCTTATAGCCACTGCCCCAGCTTGGAATAGTTATAGCCAACCTTAAAAAGAATACATATACTGACTCACAAAAGTGATCAGGTACTACTTGTGCTTTGCAAAAACAAAACTTCTTAAGTTTAAACTGAAATTCCACAACTGGTTTCTTTTGAAATAATAACTGGCTCCTTTATTCGATGTTTTCATTCTTAATATTTTTTTAATGAAATTAATGAGTTTAAAAAATTAGCAATTTTTCTTTGAAAGGGAAATCATATTGCAAAAGTGACTGGACATCATCAGTTTTTCAAATAGGATTCAGAAAGCGGAATTTTAAAATCCTTTCTAATACTTTGCCTGGATTAATATTATTTGACAAAAACATAATTTAATCTTTTTGGAGAGAATTCATCTAGATCAGCCTAATTTTCCTCTACTTGTTTTATATCTCAATTTCTGTTTTTGAATTTTATACTCAATTTCTGTTTTCGAATTTCATACTCAATTTTTCACTAAATATGTTGAATATCGTTTAAATCCAGAAACTGAGAAGACATTATGAATATTTCAAGTATATTAAGCAGGCATATTCATAGAAATAGGCTCAGGTTTAATATCTTGAACGAACTGAATTATTATAAGTTTTCTGATGATGTTAAATTTCATTTTCAAATCTTGATATATTTTTATCAATTTATTAGAATATCAGAAAACATAAGATAACGATTTTAAACGGCAAAATATGTCCCTACTTCAACCTTCCACAGCTCCAACTAACTTGAACCTTTGAAATTCACATTCAGCGCTTTGAGGGCCAGTTCAAAGCACAGGCAGCTAGTTTTTTTTTGGGGGGGGGAAGCAGCAGCTAATTTGTTTACAAAAGCAGGAACTAAATGAAAATATATTTTTAATTATTAGTATGTCAATTTTATAGACGGCGCCAACTACTTTAACTGCCTGTGGCAATGAAATTTCTGGAGTTGGAGCTGTGCTCTTCTGAAAGCTAAAGCTTGAAAGACATTAAATTGGCTTTTCTTGTTAGATGTTACTTTATTCTACACTTAGAACTCTTATTTTTCATAAATTTTGTAAAACAAAGTTGTCTTTTTTCACCATTCTGTTCTTTCATTGACCTGAAACCATTTTTAACACGAAGCATATTGGATTATTATTTTAACAGTCTTATTTAAAGAATATGCTGCATTAGCATAGCTTAAACTTTTGTCTCATGATCCCCATGTACCTAATTGTGACTTACTGTCACCCATATGAATATATTTGCGACCCACCCATCTGCATATAGTTAGTTATCAGGGAAAAAAGACCCAGAAGAAAATATAATAACGAATTCATAATAAACATCCATAACTACTAAGAAATGCTTGATAATTGTAAACTAATTCATACTTACTTATAACCATAAATAATTACACTAACAAATACTCTGAAACTTTTTGATTAATAATTATTTGTTTTATGTATATAAATACTACCTTTGACTATTTTAATTATTTCAGATAATATTGCACTGCATTTAAAATATACCTTGGAAAGTCTCCCATGTCTTTTCATTCTGAAATGCTTTGAATAGTATTTTATTGCATGAAACATAATAAAGTCTTTAAATCAATTCAGAACCAATTGGGAAAAGAATGTCTGAACAGTAATCCAGTATGCTAGATTACTAAATATAATGGTGATATGCTTTCTTGAAGAATCCAAGATGATTTTTCAGGTATCATCTGTTGTGTTTCAATGCAAAATAATACCACAAATGCATAGATTAGCTTTATCACAAATGACCTGTAACCTGAGCAGTGTCCTATTACTTTTGTGGCATAATTTTCCCATTCTAAAGATAAATGTTAACCATTAAGATGAATGCATTATTCACAGAAAAAATATGTATTGTAAAAGGAAGACTGGGTAAAAGATTACTCAAAAGAAAATTACATTTTATAATTTGAATTCAAGTATTTAAGATTTTTTATATTATTTTTGAAAGCTACAAGAGTACCACCAATTTTACCAGACAATGTATGTGAAATTCCACTACAGGCCTATTAGAAACTGGCAAGAAAATCTAGGCCAAAGTTCTAAGCAACTTCATATTATTAGCATTTGAATTTCCTTTATTTGTTCTACTCCTCAATAACATACTGCAACGAAGACACTAAGTCTTCAGTTTGAATCCAGTTACAGACAGCAATCTATTTTTAAGGAATTTTAATTATGAATAATACTTATAAAGCAAATAAATACCACTCCCCCCAAAAAGGAAAAGAAATTTAGTGAACAGTAGATTTCATCATTCTTATAGCCTTTAATTTGTCAGTACAAATTTTACCATTAAAGTAGTTCCATCTAGCATCTGCAACCCCAAATATGTCATGAGAACAGCACTTCTTGTCTGCAGGGCTTGTGTTACACACTACAATACAAGAGATAACAAAAAACTCAGAGATTTAAAGAATACACTACTTAGAACTTCAGCCTTAAATTCTTGCTGATTTTTGAGAATTGTGAAAAATTTGTACAAAATCAATGAGACCAAAGTCATGTGTTCCCCTAATCAGAGAGGCAATTTCCATAATTACATATAAATCACTTTTAAGCCAAATCACACACTCTATATATGTATTCAGCAAAGATATACAGGAAAAAAAATTTACAACTCAAAAATTATGATTTTCCAGATTCATAAACATTTTTACAGTGCATATAAAAACTGGGAAAAAAAAAACAGAACACATAACAAACAGAAAGCCCAAATCATAAAATTTAACTCTCTAAATGCCACCGACAATCAGCATGAACTTTCATGTGGGGCTAAATAATTTCTATCACGCATACAATGTGTTTGAAATGAAATTTGTTTAAATTGTATATTACACTCAACACAATTATTTATAACACTTATATACATTTCATAATATACACAAATATGACAGTTCATTACATTTCATTATGTAAATATTTTACAATATACACTGACTACTTTATTTAGATTATCACTTACATTGCAGAAATCAATTAAATCACCACATTCTGAATCAGCAGGAGAAAGATTATAACATAGAGAAAATTGTTTTTCCAATTTACAGTTTTCCTCATTATATAATAACTATCTCAATAATTTGAAGAAATTTATATCAACAACCAGAAAAACATATGCACAAAATGTCCATTTTCAAAAGGAAGCCAAGTCCCTGATGTGATCCAAACATAAAGTATATTAATCCAATTTTTATATATATATGTGAAAGCAAATATAAGAAAAAGCCATTTAATGGCAAAACTTTAATGCTTTATGCATGGGTGTCAGCAGTAATAGCTAAATGTCAGTGGCATAAAAGTTAAAATATGTATACTGCATATAAAAACATTACTGGATAATCTAGTGAAGTTTTTTTAAAATTATTATTTATTAAAAAACTTCTCAGACTTGAGAGGGCTAAAAGATAAAACTTAAATTTGATTTGGATAATTGCTGTAAATAAAATCTCACAATCGAAAGTTTTGTTACAATTTTCATTAAAAGATTAAAGATGTGTTTACTTTTTTAAATTTTAACTATTGAGAAAAACATCTTATAATTAATTAAAATATATAAACAGCAGAGTCACCATTATCTGATGTAAATGAGCCTGAATGAAGATTGGACACAAGTCAGTTACTTCAATAGCAAAATTATTTCATGAGAAAAGAAGCAAACCCTTATTCTCATTCATGAATATATAGCAGAGACAGTATTTTATATTAACTCCCCCATGAGAACAATTGCAACTATTCAGAGCTACTTTTGATGGTTAAGAAATAAAATCACACACAAAAGACTACACTAAAGCATACATGATTAACTGGTATTTATTTAATCAAGAACCATGACAGGCTAATAGCATTAAACGTAAGTACTGTGATTATATATTGCTATGACCTTTTTTATGAGATGTGAGGTTTGCAGGCATCAGAAGCATACATGGATTGTGAATGAAACATGCAATAAAAATGTTCATGTTAATAATTTATAGTAAGAATTTAGGCTTCCGTGACATGGCAAATAAAATGGAATTTCGGACAACCAGGACTCTACTGTATATATAGTTTTCACCTTTCAGATATTCTACTTTGAGATATACTATTTCAGATATTTTTACTTAGGATAATCTTGTCTAAAATTGTCAAAGCATTATTTTTTTGTGATGTGCAAAAGTTTAGTAAATCATAACCCAAACAATAAATTACAGCAATATAACAAAAAGAAAACTTGCAGTAGTTTAAATATTTAAACTACTGCAAAGTAAAGAACAAAAGTGAAAACAAAATATGCTGCATTTGATGCTGCAATGGTTTGTATTTATGTTTCATTAAAAATCTGATGTTAGGAGTCAGAATTTTCTTTACTCAAAGCAATGATTGCAGACCTTTTTTAAAAGGTGTGTCAGTACTATTCATTTTGAGAACAACAGAAGCAAAGAGATTGACAAAATTCTAAAACAACAAAGGTCAAGATAATGGCTGCAAGTCAGAAATTTATATTTTATAGTGCTATCCACTGAAATTCACAGATAATTATTGTGAATTTTGTGTTAAAATACAAATGACCAGCAGATAATTCATTATGATGGTAAATAAGCATTTAAATTAAATGTATGCTTAGTTTTTTTTTTTTTTTTTTTTTTTTTTTTTTTTTTTTTTTTTACTAAAATTTGAAGAAAATTCTGATGACAAATGGAATTTTGGGCAACAGAAATAGCACCAAAAGAATATTCCCAGCTCTCAGTCTGATAAAAATAAAGCACAAAATTTCACATCAGAGAACAAAAAAATACAACATAATCTCAGATTTCTATAACAAGAATTAATATACATTAAATTTTAAATGGCATGCAAATTTTTTTCCTATACATATTAAGACGTCAACAATCATACATGGGGGATACTATTTTTATGCCTCAATAAACAGAAAAACCATATGACTAGGAATATACAAATTCTTTCATTTCTGATCTTACAACTTGGATCAAAGAAGCATAATGTAACCTGGCACATACATACTACACAAAATGATTAAATAGAAAAACAAACTACCTATATATGGCAGACTTATGAAACAATTTGATTAATTTTTCTTTCAGACAGAGAAGCATACCAAATTTTTCAAAAAGAACTTTAATCACATGAATAATAGTCATCTGTTTTCACAGATACTTTTTAAGCTTAAAAAGAATAATAAAAGATGCACAGATTGGAAATGTTCAAATTATAACAAAATGTTAATGGTAATACAGGTCTGAATTAACATCAAGGTAACATATTTTTAAATGAGACAAAAGACATCCCTGCCTATTTAAACAAAACTTTAAAAGTTTACATGTTTATATAAAATATGGTAATTCATCAAGGTGAACTTATTTTAGCACCAGTGGTTGAGGAAACTTGCTGATATTGCTGCTGCTTTGCAGGGCTTGAATTAATACTACCTGTCATACTAGGTGCTTCAAATCCATTAAAACTATCAGGTGACTGTAAAGAGTGTATGTACAGGGGATTGACATTAGCTGCATCAAAATGAGTACTGTCATACAATGAATTATTCTGGAAGAAAAAGAAAATAACACATTTTAATTATATGAAACATAAAATTTTGTGAACAACCATTCAAAATAAAGATAGGCAGTCTATTAAAACAACTATTAAAAATAAAATAGGTAGTCTATTAAAAGTTACCAATACGAATTATTTACATTGATTGTATACAGCTCACAAAAGTAAGAATCAACATGAATGGTACTTATAATTTTAGGAATATGATCAATGTTTACATAATAATTACTAAATAATAAATAGCTGAACATATAAATGCATGAAGTAAAAACTGTGAGGGGAGTACATTTAAAAAAGCTACACATGTATGAACAATTTCTAAGCAACTTATATAACAAACCTGATAAATGTAGTCTGAATCTGTTTTTAATGATGAACAGGAAAGTTGATGAGGTAAACTGACATTATCATCTTCAACTACATCATCTACTTGGGCTTTGTATGAAAACATAATACTTGGTTGAGATACACTACAAAAAAGTAATAATATTTTAAAAGACAGCTGCTATATATCCATTCACTAACACATTAAGAACATTTGTGCAAAATAAAAAGCAATCAATGTTACACACAAAAGTTATATTATGAAGATCATTAATTCCAACAATGGCAATATAAAAGAGTTTTAAGCGATTTACTTATTCCCGCTTTTTCTTTACAATAATAATGTAGTGGGAATAAATCTAAACTTATTTCTTTATCTATCAGTTATTCCACTAGTTTTAGGCCAGATACAATGCAGAAATAAACATAGATAACACTGGAACTCCAATTCCTACATGTTATTAACAAATGGTGATTGCAAATGTACCTCATAGTGCTGAATTTTTTCACAAATTGATTGAGCCATTTTGAAAACTGATTTTGCTTGCTTCATATTTCAGCAACATTTTGGTAATTTTGACCATATTTAAATGAATTAACACTTTTTTTTAACATTGCTGCAATGAAATTAGTCTAAATAATGCCTTCTATGTATTTGGGGATAACACTATACTTCAAAAGACATTAATTTTGTGTATTGTTTAACCATCTCATGAATATTTTTTCAGATTACTTTTATTATTTCTTCAAATTTCATACAGTGAATCCATAGACCGTTAATTCTCAAACTATGTCAAACTTTTTAATAATATTATACAGAAATTAGAGTTTTTAAATGACCATATTTATCATTTTAGTCAAAATAAATGGAACATACTTATCATTTTAGTCAAAAGTTAGATACTGGCTTCAGAAATGCCAAAACTCAGCTTCTGCATCAAACAATTAACCAACAAATACAAAAGGAAAGCACTCAAAGGAATTCTGCTATTGTACAAATCAATAATAATAATATAAAAAATAAAAAAAATAAAAAAAAAGAGCCTAACTGCTTTTTTATGTAAAATCTAAAAATAATTTTTTTATGTACACTGGGAAAACAAAATGTTCATTTCAGGGTTCGTACATGTTATAAAATTAACATGCAGAGTGATGGCTAATTGAGTTTTGTATTTTATTAACAAAAAAAGTAGAGAGAACTTACGTACGTCTTACTGTTTACATGACAAATTTTAGAATGACAGAAATAAGAGTGATGCCAGATGCATAAAACATAATAAAACAATGATGCCACTAAAACTGCACATAATACTAATTTAATGCTCGATTCTCAACAGCCTCCTTCAAGCATGAAGATAGTCATTGTTCATACAGATTAACCTTTACTTATTTGACTGTTTTTACACCAATCAACTTCTGGAAATGAAACTGAGGTGCTGGAAACGCCTTCGTCAGAATGTCTGCTCGTTGTTCATTACTTCTGACATAGACTAATTGAAAACGTCCCTTCGAGAATTCATCTTGCACAAACTTGTACCTTTGGTCAATGTGCTTTGTGCGTGCGTGGAAGACTGGATTTTTGATGTACTTGATAGTACTCTGATTATCAATTTGTAAGATAGACAATGAGACATTATTAGCTATCTCATTGAACAAGCTCTTCAACCATATCATATCTTTTGTAGCATCAGCTGCTGCCATGAACTCTGCCTCTGTCATCGAATTGGATATGGCCTCTGTAGCTTGCTTCGCCATGTAATCGCACCTCCACCATAGAAAGAAATAACACCTGTTCGAGACCTGCGTGTTTCTGCACAGCTGTTGTTATCTGCATCACTAAACAACATCAAACTTCTATCATCTTCATTATTGTACACAATGCCGTGTCCTATGGTATTGCAAAGGCACTTTAATATTGTCTGTATGATTTTTTATTCAATCTCTGTAGGATTGTTCAGCTTTCGAGACATCAAACTCACTGCGTAAGCAATATCCGGATGAGTCCCCATCGCCAAGTACAGCAAACTGCCAACTACTGATCGGTATGGAATTTGACTGCTGAGAGGCTTCGCCTCCTTGATCTTGATCATGCCGTCGTCATTCAGTTGACCATAGTCGACCTTGATGTTGTAAAACATTTTATAGCCTTGAAATTCCACAACAAATTAATAAAAATAGAGAGTAAAATTATTCTTCTTACCTTCTATCCAGCGCAGCATCAAGCGAGATCATACCTAATTAATTTTTAATCCAAAATAGGTGTAGACGGAAATTGTAAGATCACAAAACACACTCTTTATTAATACATGAAAAATAGATAAACTTCATCAGTATTCCAAATACATATTGAAAAAGGAGTTATATCATAAAAAGTCTCATATCATTGTCCTTTCCTGAAGGAGTGAAAAAAGTAAAGTGTAAAAAATAAGAGAGTTACACCGTTAACTCATTTGCAGGGTTTCCAGTTCATACAGTTTATCGCGCTATTGCCGACAGTCCATCACTATATGCTTACCAACACCCCTACTCGATGGGCATGATCGCCATTTGCAGCGATTCTCGAACACAGGTTTGCCTAGTGGTTTGGTGAGTAGATCCGCAATCATGTCGGAGCTTCTGCAGTAGTCTAGGCACAGGATCCTATTTTGTGTAAGTTCCCGCAGGTAGTGGTATTTCATGTCTATATGTTTTGTTCTGGAGCTATTTTTCTCCGTTTGTGATAGTTTGATGCATGATTTGTTATCTTCATAGAGAGTAATCGGCAGATTTTGTTTTAGTCCTAGATCTTTAAGCAAATTTAACAGCCATTGTGCTTCTTGTGCTGTATTAGCTGCCGCAATATATTCTGCTTCAGTTGAAGATAGTGCAATGCAGTTTTGACATTTGCTGCTCCATGAAATGCAGTTATTTCCTAGTTTGAATATGTATCCGCTAATGGATTTTCTCGTTGTTCTGTCATTTGCCCAATCTGCATCCGAACATGCAGTTAGTATAGGTTCTTGAATTCTGTTAAAGACCAACTTAAAGTCTTTAGTTGTGTGCAAGTATCGAATGACTTTCTTGACAGCATTCCAATCTATATTCCTAGGTTTTTCATTTCTTCTACTCAGTAGATTGACTGCACATGCTATATCTGGTCTGCTAATTGTTGCAATATATAATAATGCCCCTACTGCTTGTCTATATTCTGTATTATCCTCTAGAAAATCATTTTCAGCTTCTAGTTTGCAGTAATTTGTTTCCATTGGCGTATATGTTGGTTTTTCGTTCTGAAGTCCAAACTTTTGAACTATTTCTTCAATTTTATTCTTTTGGTTTATGGCAAAAGTTCCATCCTTAAATCTTTCAATGTTTTATGCCGAGGTAGTAAGTGACTTCTCCTAGGTTTTTGATTTCGAATTTAGCGTTCAATTGTTGGATTGTTTCCATTACATCTTCTTCTCTTTCACTTCCTACAAGCATATCATCTACATATAATATTATATATGTGAATTTTCCATTGATGTTTTTATAAAACAAGCATGGGTCTGCTTTACTTTGTTTAAATGACATGTATGGAAGTATTTTTCCAATTTTCAGATTCCAATCTCTAGCGGCTTGTTTTAAACCATATATAGATTTCTTCAGCTTGCAAACTTTATTTTCATTTCCAGCTTTTGAGTATCCTTCGGGTTGAGTCATGTAAATTTCTTCTTCTAGTTCTCCATGAAGGAAAGCTGTTTTGACATCGATATGTTTGACAGACATGTTTTTATACGAAGCTGCACATAGGAAGGCTCATAGCGTTGTGTATCTTACTACAGGAGCAAAGGTTTCATCATAGTCAGATCCAAACTTCTGGCTAAATCCTTTTGCAACTAATCTGGCTTTGTATCTTTCAATTTTTCCTTCTGCATTGAGCTTTGTCTTGAAAGACCATTTGCATCATATTGGTTTTCTTCCTTTTGGTAAATCAACTAATTCCCAAGTGTTGTTTTCTTCTGGTGAATTAATTTCTTCTCGAACAGTTGTTAGCCATTTTCTTTTTTCACTTTCTTCCACACTTTGAATTTCCTTCCAAGTTTTGGGTTCGGAGGAGATTGGATATTTGGCATGGAATCTGTAGCGATCAGGAGGTTTACCTTTTGTGAGTCTGTTTGATCTTCTGACTTCCAAAGATTCTTCTTCGTGTTCTGATATTTCTTCCTCTTTGGGTTCTTCTATTTTTATTTCTTCCCGTTCTGGGCTTTCTTCCTTAGAATTTTCTTCATCCTGCTTTAAAGAGATGCTTACAGGCTCCTCAGTTCCAGTGTCTTCAATAAATCGTACAGATCGACTTATTATGATTTTCTCTCCAGGAATAAAATTCTGTAGCCTTTACTTCTGCTGTCGTAGCCGACGAGTATTTCTTCTATAGCAGTATCATCCAATTTACCTCTTTTAGATTTATGGATGTAAGCAAATGCCTTGCACCTGAAAGTCCTCAGATGAGAGAGGTTGGGTTTCTTGTTATTCCATAATTCGTATGGAGTTTTTGCATTTGGTTTTGTAGGCATAAGATTCTGTAAATAATTTGCAGTCAGCACTGCTTCGGCCCAGTATCTGTGAGGTTGACCTGAGTCAGCTAAAAGACATCTTGTCATCTCCATCAAAGACCTATTTTTGCGTTCACTTACTCCATTTTGTGCTGGACAATACGGTACAGTAAGCTGGTGATTTATACCATGTTTTATAAGATATTCTTCAAGTTCCTTACTTGTGTACTCACCACCGTTATCACTTCTTAGCGTTTTTACCTTTCTCCCGAATTTATTGTTTGTAAGAGCAATAAATTGTTTTAGTTTAGAAATTACTTCATTTTTCTTTTTCATTAGGTAAATCATTGTGAACCTGCTGTAATCATCAATAAAAGTTACGAAGTATAGGTATCCACTGACAGACGGTGTTTGTACTGGTCCTAAAACATCAGTGTGAACGAGTTCTAGCGGTTTAGATGCTCTGAATTTCGATTCTTTGGGATACGGAAAATCAGTTAGTTTACATTTTATGCACTGAATGCATTTGATATCATGTTTACAATTATCTAGTTTAATTCCTTCAGCGAGTTCTTTGTTTACAAGTTGCTTGATTGTGTCATTGTTTCTGTGGCCAAGGCGTCTATGCCAAA